CATATTTTTTCGATATTTGTTCTGCAATTTGTCTCTAATAATATTAACAATAATAAATAATTGCCTATTAATTGTTTAACACATTGCCTGTTTCCCATTGAAGAAAAATATATAGCAGTTCATTGTTCTTGTACTTGTAAGTACATATGTATAAAGAAAATATAAACTATATTAAATATAACGGTTTATATCTATGTAAAAATTTCAGTCTGATTCAAAATATAAAGTTTATATTCATATAGCCATAATCTCTGCAAAGTTGTTCGATATGTTCAATTAGTTAATTTGTCCATTCACATATTGATATATATTGTAACATACTACTTTCCAATTTGCAAACAGGGCATTATTTGGCTTTATTAGAACATATATAATTTTATATTGTCTATATTAAATTTAAATGCGATCACGGAATGTTCGTTCACATATAACATATGTTATAATGAAATAAGTTTGAATAAGATAATATTAAGATAAAAAGTATATGGTAGAATAAATATATGCCTTCTGTCACAAACTGGAATATAGTTAAAATATTTTCCTTATTTATTCAGGTATAAACTATGACAAAAATATATTCAAAATCCTTATTCCTTTTCTCTGCTATAAGCAATTCATTTCTCCATACCTTGTGTCTATATATATGTATAACTCTGTTTATATCTATTTGCTTGTACTTAATAATAATCTAATAAAATAATTAAGAATAAACGATGTCAAAATATGTCAGGAAACAAATAAGAGATTCTGCAGTCACAAATTATTAAAGATGCGTACATCCGAATTTTGCAACATTAATTCGCTAAAACAAAATAAAAATTTTACAAAAAAATCTTACAAAAAAATCTTACAAAATAAAAATCTTAAAACAAATCAAGTAATAAAAACTCTAATATTATTTAAAAAATTAATATTTTTTTTTATAAGATACTTAAAATAATTTACTAATAAAGGAACCGTAATGTCACAATATGAAAAAAAATGTATAAACACAAATGTTAAAACACAAATTAATGAATTATGTAGTTAGTAATAGCTTGTGCCATCTTTTAGACAAAAAAATAAATGTTAAATAACATAGTCACGACAGTTGTTAGGTAATTTAAGTATTTAAAAATTAATAGTCCTGATCATTATAATCATCTAGTATCAGCTTGTAGAATTCAGATAATCTGTTATTAAAGATTGGTACTATTTGTGGATAATTTATGTCATTTTTACCTTGTTCATGTACTTCTTTGTCGCTCAATGTAAAGTTAAGAATCGTCGGTGAACTTTCTAATACAGTTACACTTACTGGTTCGTTGGGTTCGTATCTGAATAGAAAACAAAATACAATAGTAACAGATATACTAAAAATAGTCTTCAGCTAGTATGACATATTGACTGTGAACGTTTAAGAATTTTGCGATTACATACCCCCACGCAACACAATAAACTGAATAAGTTCCTGGAAGCAGTAAACGCCAATATTCGCCGTTGCTCGTGGTTGTTACATTATGATTTATTCCTTCTACAATAATGTTTGCTCTTTCAATTGGTCTACCATCCTTACTGAATACAAAACCTGCAAATGAAAGATAAATATACCGTAAAATTTCTTTCTAAAGTATAACATAAAAACGATTATGATATTAATATATGAATGTTACCCTTTATTCCAATATGCACTTGCTCCAAATATTTAATCAGAGATTCTTTATTTAACAGCCATTGCTCCGGTATGGTTGAACCTGGTGGATATTTACAGCAACTCAATTCAAACGTTATGTCAAATGCATTGGATCGGGCATAATTGTAGTCCTGCATTCCACCAATTACTTCATACCTGTCGACAAATTCAAAAATTTCTAAAGTTTTTGTCAATAATAAGCTAACCATTTTGTAAAAATTATTTAAAAAATTGATCTTCATCTGATTAATATTTTCAACCATTCAGCTCAATGTTACTTTAAAAACGGCATAATGTTTATTCTTACCAGTATGCTCCATTTGTAACGCCACCTCGGAATATTTCTGGTGGACAAGCATTACCTCTACGCATTAGTGAATGATTGTCCGCATAAGCATGAGCGAGATGCTTGAATAAATTATCGTCTGGGCTTTTACTCTCTATGCAGCATGATCTTGAAATACTAAAAGGACACATCTTGTCAGATGACAGATAGAACTTTCAATGATGTAAGGATTTAACAATATATAACAGTTATCATGATGACAATTGTATAATATACCCAGAATCATATGGATAGCTGGCAACTACAGCACCACCATGAAGATTCCCGGAGAGCACGAAAGGCTCATTGGAGATCCAAGTCATCATAGCCACAGTTTCACTCTGGCGACCATTGAGAATAGAACTACCCTTATTGCGATGGTTACTTTTTCCCTCAAACTGATCGGGGAAGTCTCGATTTAAGTCGATGTGATTGGCGTTTTCTCTGCCAGAGAAATCATCATTGGACTCGCATTTACCTTCCTGAAACACAAGAATGTTTTAAATTCATAATCTCAGTGCCATTGCAGTAAGAGTGAGAATCTTACCACTGATTTTTCAAAACCATCCGGATTCATAGAGGGCATCAAGTAGATGTCTGTCTGATTTACTAGCCGGGTGATGCGATCGTCTTTGCCATAGCGGTCTAGGAGATACTGGCCAAGAATGATGAGCAACTGTCTGCCAACAACTTCATCACCATGCATGTTAGCGACATACTTGACCATAGGCTCGCCGGGGCTGCGCTGTCCGACATTCTCTGAGATCTCCAGGACGAGGAGGTCCCGACCTTCCACCGATTTTCCGATGGACAGCACTCGTGCTAAGTTCGGGTATCGGTCCGCCAGAGAATCGAACAATTGTCGCAAATCGTCATAATGCGTATAAGACGTGGTGACATAGTCACCGTCCCGTGGCTGCTCGGCAACGTTCAACGCATAGCCGTTCGCTAGAGCAATCACGGCGCAGACGAGCGCGAGGATAACGACTCCGCGACGTAGGCCTTCCATTTGCGAGGCCTGTTTTCTTTACCTCGCGTGTGCTGTCGGATGAATTTTCGCTATTACCTCGCGCACACCCGGCTGTACTACCTCGAGGAAGACTGTCAAAGTGTCAAAGGTTCATATCACGGATTTTCCCTTTTATCCTTCCGCATTTATACACAGTGCTGACGTCCGCACGTCAGATGAGTGGGCGAATCTCGATGAGGAGGGGGACGGAGAGCAACGTCACCATTCGCCAAACGAGTGTCCTTCTCTCTTACTTCTCGTTGGTGCATGCGCGATAAATGGAATAAATGGCAATGCACTGCAATAAACGCGATATCGCATTTGCAAAGTTATCATTTCTCGGCTTATCTCTGCTTATCTCGACTAAGATTGAAAGTATATAGCCTTTACGATATTCCGGAGCATGTTATGAATTCGTGATACTCGTGAAAAGACTGCGAACGTGTGAAGTGACTCGTATAAACTTGCACGGATTAGGTTAGAAGATTAGGTTAAATTTCATTGTGATTCAACAACGGTAATTGGCAATGGCTAATAAACAGTGAGTAACGTTTAGAAGGCGTTTCTTGTATCGCATCAAGATTCTAATACCATCGATTACTTTCAACTGACTTTTCTCAATGTTGAAGGTACGGTTTGATCTTGCCGAAGAAGCAACAGCAGAGTACGGCGCCAAGACTCGGCAACGTATTCGAGGACGACAATGCCTCCGACGAGGAGGATGGAACCGACTGGGTCAGGAAGGCCCTTAAGGCGGAAAGCGAGAAGAACCGGATGAAAAAACAAACAAAGCTCGACATACAGAAGGCTCTGGATGAAGACCCAACAATCTATCAGTATGACGAAGTGTATGATGATCTGGAGCGTAGCAAAGGCCAATTGGATGGTACAAGCAAGCAGAAAGAGAAAAAGTCCAAGTACATACAGAAGCTCCTGAAAACAGCTGAACGAAGAAAAAAGGAGCAGGAGCATAGGATAGAGAGAATGGTACAGAAGGAACGCGAAGCCGAGGGCGAGATTTACGCGGACAAAGAAAGTTTCGTCACGTCGGCGTACAGAGCGAAGTTGGAGGAATTTAAGAAGATGGAGGAAGAGGAAGCCAAAATGAATAGATTGGAAGCTATTGGTGATGTGACAAAACAGCAAGACATGTCAGGATTTTATCGTCATCTGTACGAACAGACTGTTGATTACAAGGGTGAGACTAATGAAGATGAAAGCAGTAAAGCGAAAGAAAGTACTGAGCAGAGGGAAGGGAAAATATCAACAAGCAGCACAAATGGAGAAAACGCAATGACAAATAAGAAGGCAAATGAAACAGAGGAAAAACAGAAATCATCAATTACAAAGACTAAAAAATCAAGACAGTATCGGCAAAGAGCCATAGAAACGTACGAATCTGATTCTGAAACAGAGACGAGTAAAAAGGAATTGAAGAAAGATGAGACTATTGTTTCATCGGTGGACAAAGAGGCCGATAGAATAGAAGTGCAAGAACCGAAAGAAAAGAAACAAAGATTAGATAAAAAGGATATGAATACGATTGAAAATATCACAAACATTAAGGATAAAGATGAAAATGTAAAAGACGCTGAAATACCTCAAAATAACAATGTTACTCCAGAAAGCGAAGAAATTGAAAATAAAGAAAAGACTGTTGAAAAGAAAGATAGATCTTCCATCTGGGAAAAGAGAACAATAGGTCCAGTATTTGAAGCAGCATTACAAAGGTATTATGCAAGAAAGGCAAAGAGACTGGCTGAAGCAAATTAGATGTAATTAATTTAGAACTACGTTAATTTTTTATATAACGTCCGTTTCACTCTTGTATTACATAATACATAAATATTGACCTTATTTTAATGATGAATTGTACAAAAAAAGGTGTGATCTCCGATTGTAAAAATGTGTACAAAATTAAAGATAAAACTTATTTTATGACATTAGAAAACTACAAGTATATTTAAAAATACACATATACCATAATCTAAATACTTAATGATTTTTATAATTTAAATAGACATTACAGCTGAGCTCTAGAAGAAAAATATATACACTCAGATGCATGAGATGCACGAGGTGATACTTTCTTAAATACCATTTAGTCGTTGTATATCCACTTCTTCATATACTTATTACTTGAAAATATTATTTTTAGAAAATTCAGCTTCTCTTTCGCACATTTGTACAATTGTATACTTCCATCCAACGTGAAAGCCATGTGAAAAGCAAATTATCTCTGTGATAAAAAGATGATATGAGATCGATTTGTACATCTTGTGGAATGCAGTCTCGATGTACACATATCGATGCATACATGCTTATCAATAATATATTATTTATAAATATGTCATGTTACATAAAAAGTCGTACATTTTTAACTAGATGTTACATTTTGTGGTAACATATGTCCTGTATCCCCTAGACAATAGAGAGTAACTCTACCACTGGGAAGAATACAGAGCCAAGTAATACTTCCATGTTTCAAGCATATCCGTAACCATGCTTCTGGTGGAAACTGTAATGCCCTTAAAAGAAAATCGAAAAATATATACATACAATAGAGAAAATATTATAAAATTTAATCACTCTCTTTGTAAAAGAGAAAATCTTACCGACAAACAAAATATCTGATTACGTTTGCATGGCATACAAGAACTGTGTAAGAATCACGTTCTTGACTAGGTTCCGCGCGATGAAAATATTTTCTAAATGCTGCCTCTATTCTGGGCCCATCTTGGAAGAACTGGAATAAAGATCAAATAGAGATGTAGAATTATTATGCATTGCACGAGAATTCTTAAAATTCTTAAAATTTTCTTTTAAAATCTTAAAATTTTTTCGATATATTCAATAACACAAATAATTAATTATATTTCACTCACATGTCTCTCAGATTTCCACTGACCAATAGGCGGTTCCGGAGGTATAGGTGCACCTTCAACTAACAAGCTGTCGGTTTCGACTGGCACATTTATAAGATTCTTTTCTATAATTTGAGAAGTTTCTAGAGCACGTGTCATTGTGGACCTTATTATCAATGAATAAGGCAAGTTTAATTCTGCCAGCCTCTTTCCCGTTGCTTCAGCCTGCTTCCTGCCTTTATGGCAACAAAGTAAATAGTTTTATAAAAAATGTATATATTTCTATGTTTTATAAAACAGTTTTACAAATAACGTATATACTTGTATGACATAAATGTTTACATGAAATAAGTATGAAATTATGGAAAAAAAAAGAAATTAAACAAAAAGCCCAGTTGCCCACAATAATTTGCGTCATAAACTGTAAGCCCGTTTGAAGAACGGAGAAATAATAGCAAGCATTAAAAGAATATCGATCACACTTTCAGAAATATCGTTAGTTTCAATAGAACATAACATGTTAATTATCAACGTACATATGCGATGAGAGAACATGCTGTATCACGAATTATTACATACTTTTCGCAAGATAACTTATTAGCCATCTTCCAATACGATGTCATGGAAGATGTAAGTAGATAGAAAGCGTATTATCCTAGTAGCAACACCTATGGAATGCTATAGTAGAAGAATTTGTATAACATTCTCTTCGGAAATTGTGTGGTTTGCTGGTTATGGTGACAAATTATTGTGAACTTCCAGGAACTTTAACCCGAGACCTAAATGCAAATACAAAACTCCATCAGTACGAAATAAATGCGATCCATTAAGTAAGCAACACTAAATATTAGGAAAGAAACTTGACGTGCTTCGATTATGTAAAGAGGAAAATTCCAGAGGATCTCAGAGGATGTTGATTTAAAAAAAAATCAACATAAAAACAACGAATGGGACAACCATATATTACTTTAATGCTGAATACAGAAAGTCATCCTACCAAGTTGAGTCAACACTCTTTCAATGTCTGTCTTTCCATCCGTGTGATATTGTCCATGGCGAATCAAGAGTATGTGCCGTACAGCCTTTGCTTTTTTCGCCTCGAATTTTTCGTTGTACTTGTTCTCATCGTTCTCATCGTTCATCTTCATCGGCTTTACCAAGCTCTGTGGATCTCGTCTATAAACATCACAACCATTATTAATTTTTCTTTTTATTACTCTCGAAACGAAATGAGTTTTGATTAATCAATAATTAATCCTTTACACTCTATTTCTTTTAATAGCCCAACAACTCCAGGTTTTTTATGGAGAAAAATGAAAAATGTTACTTTACAAGATAAAAGATCTGTAAATGTTTGTAATGTAAGTTTTATTAAAATTTCCAATAACATATCTAGTATAATAAATATAAACATTATTTTAATTCTTGAAATTCTTTTCTGTAACTTTAAGAAGCATTTTTCTATATGCATGTTATCCGAGACAAGTGTTGTTTCTGTTTTTTTTTTACAGTTTTATAGCATATCTCTATACTCCGAAAGAAAGGTTTTTTTTCTCCACCATTTGAAAGAAAATTTTCTCATAAAATAATAACTCGATACTAGTTGGTTCGATCTATATCGCTCATGACTGATGTGTAGCTTTACCACATCAGTCATCAGAAATTTTTTGATCATGAGTTCGGCACCGCTTCGACCAATCTTCTTGCAGTTATCATTGCGGCATGGTCTACTGTACTCAGTAAAGTTACGATTCTTTTATCCTCCCAGGCTAAGAGTTTTTCCTTTTTTGTACACAACAGTAGTTTTGTCTTTAAATTTTGATTTCTTTATAGCAATCAGAATACCTATTAGTTTTTATTGTACCAGTCAAATGGGATTTCATTTTCATTAATTCTTCTAAAGACAGACTGGTGTACCTAATACCAGTAATAATCAGTATACATATGATATCCATTTGCAACAGAAACTTTATCCATTAAATTCTTATATAACTGCAGCGAAATTCTCTCTACTGAAAAAAAATCACGTCACAAAGTTACATAACGAAATCATATGATTAAAACAAGTAAATTACATAATTATATGATTTCGTTATGTAACTTTGTGATGTGATTTTGTTCAATAGAGCTACTACTAACTGATAAATCTAATCTAATTAGCTTTTCAGAAATAATACTCTCATAATATCCCGGGAGGATAGTATATGCATGTCCTGTTTCTGAATTCATCAATACATAGATTCTTATGCCCCACTTCATTGGCTTATTGGGATTATAAATTATGAAATAAATTTTCTCTTTAAATTTTATTATTGATTCATCTACATGAATATTTTTCCCTGGTATAAAATGTTTAGTAAATTTTGAATTTATATATTCTAAAAAATTGCTTACATATTGTATACGAGTTTTGAGGCCTTTTTTATTAGAATCAATTGCTTTTAATTGTGACATCCAAAATATTTAGTTCAAATGACGTATTATAAATATTTTCGAAAAAAAGGGATTATACTATTAGGTTTAGTTGACCAATATTTCTGCATATTTGCCAATAGCATTGTATCCATATTTAGTATGACATCAATAAAAGATCAAAATTCTTTATGTACATCGTGCATAAACCATATGCATTTCAATTTTCGTTGATTGTTTTTGTTTCAACAGTTTTTGCATAATTGTTATACTGATTCTACAATGAGCCAATAGTCAGAAATCTTTGTGATAATCTTTAGACAGTCGGGAAAGCCACTTTTGTGGTTTTTGAGTGTGGTTTAAAATACTATCATTTTTTATGATATTTTTTTCAATACTAATATTGTATTAAACATAATTGTATATCTGTATTGTTGCCCAAAATATATAAAGATATATAAATATTGAAAAGTATACAAAAAAAATTAAAATTTTTACTGGGCTCATTCAAACCGGACAAAAATGCTAACTTATTCGCTAAGCGGTTGAATTTGATTGGTTGGATCTATAAATAACAATGAATTATATTCATTTCCTTGATAAGCAGGTTAGTTACTTTATCGACTTGAACATGCCCATTGGCTGTGTTCAGCACACTCAATAACTTGAATGAGCGTTAGCTGTTATTGGTATTCTTTTAGATTACCCAATCAGATTTTAGATCTGAAAATATATTTTAGAATAAGAATACATCAATAGAAGAATACTATAGTACTATATACTAAATACTGTGTAGTACAATAAAATACATCAATAGTAGAATACTAATATGTATTATTCTTATGTGAATTTATATAGTTAGCGTTTTCAAGACTGAAAAATCATTTCGGCGCGCGTTTCTGGGGACTACATACGTAGAATATAAATTCATACAAGAATCATATAGGCATTTAAGATCCAGGCTAGATCGTTTAAGGCTTTGATTTCTATAGTTATCACATATACGGTCCTATAATATAATATATTATATTATGTATTGCGTATGTTGTATTGTGTATTACGTATGAAGTTGTTCTGTTTTTTTATAAATATAAAATAAAACAAACGCTTGTGACTCTATTTCAAATTTACTGTCAACGCTGAAAATCTACAGTTTACGTTACATAAACCATAGATTTTCAGTAATAGCAGTCAATTTTGGAACATAATCTACGTCGCCTGAGCGGCGCCATATGGAGTTACGATTTATATTATAAATGTCGCAATAGTGCCATCTGCGGAGTGCAAAGGGTTAACTAATTAAGTAATATCTAATTAATAATTAATAATCTAAGTAATATCTAATCATTATTTCGTTAACAATTATTAATCTTTAGTACACATAATTGGGTCATTCGTGTTCTGCATATTACTTTTCTTTGAAAAACTAGGAGCATCAAATTATTACTCTGGCAACAATTTTTTTTCAGAATTTTTCATATTTAAAATTTACGAAAATTTTTTCATAATACTTCAGAACTTTTCAAATTTTTTAAACTTTTTTTGAAAATTATAGAATGAGAGAGAAAGAGAGAGAGAGAGAGAGAGAGAGAGAGAGAGAGAGAGAGAATAAAAGGCACAGCATTAAAAGATTCTCTAATTGTTTCAATGAAATATTTTTTTGAGATGAGCTTTAAGGACAAAATGAAAGCATACTTTTTTTTTAGATAAATTCTATCGTTCATCTAAAAAAAATCTGTAAAATATTCAAAATTTTTCAAATTATTTTCTCGATATTTTTTAAACGTGTTCCAATTCATACAAAAAAAAAACTAAGAAATTTTTTTTAAAAAGTTACATTTATATAAAAATTCTGAAAAAAATCTGAAGTGTCCCAATTCGTGCAAAAAAATCTGAGAAACTTTTTTAAAAAATTATACAGACTCTGAAAAATTATTTAAAAAAGTTTGAGTAAAATTTTCGCCATGAGAATTGTAACATCTACCTACAGTTTTTTGAATAACAATTGAAAAACAATTTTACAAATACTTTTTAAAGATGTTAAAGTAAATATAAAGATCACTTAATAATTTTTGTATATTTGTTAAAGCAATGAAATTAATGTGCGATACGAACCATCGTGTGCAATAAAGGATCAGAAAATCATCGTGTCTATTAACAAAGGATTAAAATTAAATACAATTTTATGTATGGAATTATTAATGTTTTACTTAGTTTAATAATAGCAAAAAAAAAACATTAGTTTAACGAAGGTGAATTTTCACTTCCAACAATTTTTTGTCGATTGAATTAATTTTTCTTCAAAATCTCTTACGTACGAGACAGAAGAAATCAAATAGATAGCGAGAATATAAATCACCTGTCCCAGTTGTGATCCCACTTCACTGAAGGCGTATAATTCGTCGTCCACGAGTTGTGAACGCGCAACGGTTCCGTTTTGCCGTGTGCATTGTAATAATAAAGTATCGCGCCGCTCACTGCGCCGAGTCCGAGAGCCCATTTGTGCAACTGTGAGATGGTCGGCATTTCGCGTACACACGAAGGATGAACCGAGAACTTTGAAAAAAACGCTGGACCGGAGAAAATAATACGTCACCCTCGCCAGCTCGCAAGTTCCAACCAACTCTCGCTCAAGCGGCGACCTAACCTAACCCCGATCTTCCGCTACAACCAGTTCGCCACTTCCGAAGTACTAGAACGGATATGAAAAGAGTGGCGCCAATGCATGTGTCTAAAGATGCTATTTCATTTGTGTGTTTGATAATATTCAAGAATTATTATATATCCTGCTCCCTAATTTTGATGAAATTAGGCTTATTCGACGCGGTTTGACATGAAAGAATCTGGCAAAAAAAGTCTCACTGTGCCCTGTGTGATATTATCCTAATTTCAAAATTGGCGAGCAGAACACAATTTTTGTAGTATTTTTTGAGTATTACTGTGTTTTTTTGTCTGTACGACAAATGTGTACAGAACAGAGAGATCCTCGGATCTTTCTATCCCATAGCCAATCAACAGACTTAAAATATTTGTCATACGAAAAAAATAAAATAGCACAAATAAAATATCACTCTAATGCTGATTGGCTCCGCCATTAAGTATCCTTAGCTAGAAAGAAGTCAACAGCCGGTATTCATAATCGGTTTTTATTTTAAGTAATGTCTTAAGTCGCAAATACGGCTCTCTGATTGGTTCTTGACAGTATTCTTAAGACTGTACTTAAGACAGTCTTAAATATAAGATTTGAATACCGGCGAACGTTAAAGAAAGAAGAGGATAAAACAAGGAATTGCGTCATAGATGTAGGAAGTCGCAGAATGGCGACTTCCGGCTTATTGACGTCATTCTCTTTACACCCACTGTACGGGACACAGGACGAGGCGTGAGGCGTCCCGGGCGTCCCTTGTATTTATTGGGCGAGTTCAAGTTGGCAAAGCGGTTAGGCATGCTTATTGAGCGAACGAATATGATTGGTTGGATCTATAAGTAATGCGGAGTCTACAATAGAAATCGTCATAGTCGGTAGGTCTTAAGTCGTAGAGAATTGACCAATCATAGTCGAGTATTCTTCTCACATTTGACTGTGATTGGTTAATTGTCTACGACTTAAGACTTACGACTGCTATGACTTCTATTGTACACCCCGTATTAAACAACCAATTATATTCGTTTGCTCAGCAAGCAGGCTGAACTGGCTGAGCAGGGTAGCCGCTTTCTCAACTTGAACGCGTCCATTATCCATTGCTTCCTGTTGCTCTCCGTCGATTTGACGTCGATTTGATCTGTCTAGTCGGTTCGGCTGGTTTCGTGTTCGTCGCGTTGTTAGTATTGGTTTCGACTTTAGGCAACTTCAAGTACGTGTGTTCGAAAGGATCGAAATCGAGCAAGTAGAAACATTGGTGGAATCGTGTCGTAAAATTGATTCTTCTATAAAGTCTTGCGTTCTTCCTGTTGCGCATCATTGCACATCGATTTGCAATCGTCGCTTGTCCAGCTATATCTGTTCGCACGTTGTGCAAGACAGATATATCAAAGTATAAGTAGTTTTGCAACATTCTGAGAGAACAAATTGCAACGAGATGTTAACTCCACGCTTCGGGATCACGCAGACCGACGAAGTGGTGACGATAATTATCCATGCGCCATATGCAAATATAAAGGATGCGGAGATGTACGCTGACGGAATAGATTTTCTATTTTACTCCACCCCGTATTTTCTCAAGTGAGTATTTGTGAATCTGTTAGGTGAATTCCTCTTCTCGACGAATATATGAATTTGTCCTTAATACAAGATAATTTTCCAGTCCTATACGAGGTCATTCGTGTCCCGAGTCTTGAGTTAATTTACATTATTTAACAGATATATAAAAATTATTAAGTGTTGTTACATATACTTTCTAAAATTTTTAGAAAATATTTGTAAGGTTGTGTTTAAAAAAAATTATATATAAATGTTATATAACATTTGTGTATAAATGTTTATAATTGATTATTATTTCATGCTTTTTAAAAAAAAAAGAATGTACAGGACATAAATGGTCCACTGATGTATACTAGGAGTTAAATTAAATGGTTCTTGCAGATTACAGCTTCCAGGCAAGATAAAAGACAACGATTCATTCTCTGGGACCTATGACTGCGACAAGGGTGACTTTACCTTAAGTTTCTCAAAGGTAAATAAGGGGGAACATTTTGAGAATTTAGAAATGATAACAAGTCTTCTGGCACCAAAAAAGAAGAGCACTGTCATACCTAACATTGAAGTAATCGGTGAGTTATAAAGATATAATTTAAAAGTATTATATACATATACAATTATATTGCATAGCATTATTATATATATTGCACAGCATACAATGTCTCTTCCCAATTTTAGGTAATCCATCTGTGGCTTTAGCAGATATGAGTGAAAACAATACAAATAATTCTGGAAATAATTGTTTTCCATCTCAGGATAATTTTGTAGGAAGTGCGACAAATCTTATAAACTCTCCAAAATATGGTTTTGCTAATAAAATATCAGGAGCTTTAGCTGCTTTTGAGGTACGTTTTTATAATCCATTTTAACATTATTAAATTTTACTGTAAGTGCATTACAATTAATTTTACAAACAGTCTTCCATATTTAGTTTTGATAGTTAAATTAATTATATCAGTAATATTATGTAATATTTGTTCCTTTTAGGATATATGGATTAAAGAAATAATAGATCTTCCTACTCCTGATGTAACTCCTGAAGTAGAAAGAAAAAGTTTGAGGGAACAGCGTGAATTAAATGATTTCTCTGAGGAACATTATATGGCAGATCTCATGGAATCAGACGTCATGAAGCCATGCTTAATATATCAAGCAGAATGGGACACATTACAAAAAGATCAAATAGCATTTAGCAAAGCTGAAATCGACCTGCTAAAGGAACTTCCAAACAAAGAATATTTATTAAATGTTGAAGATGTAGAAAAATTATGTTTTAATCTTGTCGATATCTTATACGCCAATTGTTATAATCATCGAACAACATTCGGAGAAAATAGTTCAGAGAGTGGCTGGACTATTAATAAATTAAGTTCTACATTATGTTGGTTCCAGGTACGTTTATGAATTAGCTAGCGAAGCGTTTTCTATCAGGAGAACGAATTAAAAACGAATTAATTTCTCAAATATTTTCAGAACTTTGCTTCTCTAGATGAAGTTATAACAGCGTGTATTCGAAGAGCGCTTTGCTATCCACTTCACAGAAATTGGGAACTTTCTATTAAATTATTAGAAGATGTTAAAAAAGTTCTGTCATTAGGTCAGTATAAATTGGGATATCAAAATGTCTATATTTTCCATTTATTATTTCAAATATTTTCATGCATAGGAAGGAAATATGTCGTTAAACGCTTCTGCGAAATACACAGTCTTTTCAATAATTCATTTGAACCAAGATATATACTGAACCAACTCTATATAAAGGATTTTCTAATTTGGTTGCAAACGTTACCTGATTCTGTAATAGAATCGGTTTATTCTGCATTAAGTAATGTAAGTACTCTTCAAAATTCTTTAAACATTCACATATTTAATGCTTCTGTTACCTTATCTATCTAAATAGGTTTCCAGAATGAGTTGCCTCATTCACCTAGTACTCCTTTACTTACAATCTTCATTTTTCAAAATTAATTCTTTATAGATACGACATATATATGAGATGAATATTGAAATTAAATTTGAGATTCACTGATTATATATCGATCGACTTATACGACCGCAATGCTTACTTATATCAATTTACTATTTTATACAGGTTCATCCAAACAAAGAAAATATGGGACTAGAATTAGTGGAACTGGAAATGGCAGCTTATTCTGTCCAAGAAGATTTTGTTATAGAAAACGCCATTCACAAAATGACCAACAATATTGAAGCATTGTCTATGAACGGTGATAAACAGAAAATGTGAGTAGAAAACTACTGTTTTATTACTTTCTTCTATAATAATATTCTACATATTCTGTGTAATTTTATTTTGAAGGCCAAAGAATGTATACCATGTTAACCAAAAATTTTTTAAATGTTTGTAAGTATTTTCATATTCTAGCTTGATTGTTAACAGTCGCTGTTTAACACACCTGTATTTAATGAGCATTTGTATCATTGTTTCTATATATTTTAACTTGTTTGGTTTAATATAACGTTATAATGCCTTCTTTTATCATATATTGTATAAAAAAATAACTACTTTGTGTACATATATAATACTCTGTATAACTACTGTTTGGATTTTTGAAAACAAACTTTTATTATATCAAAATCTAATTTAAATTAAAAATGTTACAACTAAAAATTTACCAAAGTTCTCGTATTAAGTAATTGGCCAAGAATTTTTAGATCCAAATAGTATTTGATTCTGAATATTAGAGTTCTCAGATATTCGAATACTGAGAATCCTTAGAATGAGTTTTAATAATCTAATAATGTGCATGATTGAAGAGTTAATACTTACTGATTATTCCAAACTTTGAAGTCCAAAGCATTTTCTATTTCTTCTTAATTATTGTAATACAGATTATCGAGCAGTTCAAGTTCAACGGATAGCAGCGATACGGATTCTGATAGCAACACGTCAAGCAGCAGTAGCAGCAGCAGCAGTTTCGATTCTGATGATATAGATGACGGGCCTAAATAATTAAGAAGAAACGGGTGGACTTGCAGAAGGGTGATTTTATTATCGATTCTTTTATTGATTGGTATACTACTGTACTTTGATGTGCCGATTACAAATATGATCATGAAAATTACTGACAAGGTTATTTTGACGCTCATTTGTCGCGCGATCTGGCTAAGCGCTCCCGTGTTTTGGGGCGCACGTTTTCCACGCATAATGACACCTTCTCCATCTTCCCTTCTGCTTAGGGGCGCACGACTTCCACGCGAACCGACTTCCACCCCACCTCTTCCCTTGCTTAGGAGCGCACAACTTTCACGCAAAGTGACTCCCACCCCACCTTCCTCCCTGCTTAGGAGCGCACGACTTCCACGCGAAGCGACTCCCACCTCATCTACCCCTCTGCTTAGAGGCAAACGACTTCCAAGCGAAGTTACTCCTACCCCACCTCCCTCCTTGCTTAAAAGCGCACGACTTTCACGCGAAGCGACTCCTACCCCATCTACCCCTCTGCTTAGGAGCGCACGACTTCCACGCGAAGCGACTCCCACCCCATCTACCCCCCTGCTTAAAAGCGCACGACTTCCATGCGAAACTACTCCTACCTTACCTTCGTCCCTGCTTAGAGGCGTACGACTTCCACGCGAAGCTGCTCCCACCTCACCTCCCCCCTTACTTAAAAACGTACGACTTCCATGCGAAGCTACACCTACTTCACCTTCCCCCCTACTTAGGGGCGTACGACTTCCATGTAAACCTACTCCTACCTCACCTCTCCCTCTATTTAGAGGCGCACGACTTCCATGTGAAGCGACTCCCACCCCATCTGTTCCTCCTGCCAAGAGGCGCACGACTTCCCACGCGAAACGCGCTAAAAGAAGTGAAAAAAATCATCTTTTAAATATTTGAAAAATGACCTTGTCGGCAGTTTTCATTATATTCGTAACCAGGGTATCAAAATACAGTAATATTGTCAATCGATAAGAAAATTGGAAGATTCACCTTTTCGGAAGTCTATCCGAAAATGCTGATAGTTTAATAAATAATCATTTACTTGTTACATGACGTGCAGTAATGTGATGAATTAAAATCGGCTTCTTCATAAACGGCATAAACCATATAACTTTTCAACTAATTACTTAAAATATAGCATGAGATTATTTTTCGTATATATTATATATATATATAAAATTGAATTTTTGTATATGTGCATATATATACTCGTATATATATTCATTATTTTATGTGATTTTTGTGATGTATATGTACAAGAGAATCATTATGATATTTAAAAATAATCTTCCAAATATATATATATACTATACTGTGCTAACAAAAGTATTAATAAATGTGTATATGTACATTTAACATATATATCTGAAAACTTAAGCTCTCAATATTATATGACCTGTGATAAATGTAATGTGAATATGTTCTAATTAGTAAAATATTTTTTAAGAAATTTTGAGATTTTAATTTATTTAATCTATAGTTAATTCGAAATGTTAAACATTTATTTTTTATATGTTATACAAATTATAAACATTTGCTTTTAAATAAAAGTTTAGTCAAATCTCTGTTGTAATGATAAAAATTTGTCATTTATTTAATATCCAAATACTTAGCAATTAATCGGGCAAAAATAACTTCGGAATCTGATGAATAAAAAATTATATACATTATAAAATATGATTTATTTATTTAATCTATAATCGATCCAAGATAAAAGTTTATTGTAATGTTCAATTAATTTATATCGTATCTCCTCTTTCTTATCGACCTGCTCATTCTCATTAATCGGTCTGGAAGATTCAATCGTGCTCGAATCGATATTCTGTGGATCAGTGGAATCTCCAATATTGGGATTTTCTGTGATATTTGTAATTAAATAGCTGTCTTCCGCCTTCGAAAGACTCGTCGCGTAATCGCTGACATCAGAACGATGTTCCTCATTATAATTAGTCTAAAAATTAAATTTGTTAAAATATCGATTTAAGTGTTAAATTATACTATTAAAATGTACTTTATATGAATGCTGAATGTACACAATGCGTGCAGGTAATTACCGTAGAGTTGTTGTAAATATCATTAAACGTTTCATTTTGATCAGCTATGTCATTATCTTCATAACTCTTCCAATAGTCCGCTATTTCGCCGTACAATCCTGGGCTTTCATTTTTATCGAATATATACATCTGATTAACATTTTCTTCATCTGCTTCCGTTATTTGCCAATCGTATTCTTCGGAGCTTGTTATGTGAGCATTGACATCCTTAAAATTCACGAGGAATTTTAATCTCAACTATCAAGGATCAAAGAATAATAAAAAAAAAAATAATAATAATAAATACAAACGAGTGAAGAGGATTATATTCGATCAAAACAGCTCTTAATATCTAATAATATTTTTATGTAAAAAATAAATTCTTAAACACGATAGAGAAATATCTCAAATAAAATACGAGAAATTAATTAAGACATACATAAAATAGAGCATTATAATTTAACGGAAATGTTATAGGTTTTACTTCACATGTACCGGCGGTGATGCAACGTCAATTCCTGAATCGGGGTGCTCATGAAAATCGGGATCGCCGGACTTCAGAATCATGTGCGTGTATTTTTTCGTCTTTTTGCCATTTTTTTTATGTAGGTGCGGTGCATACATAATTATACGTAGCGGTAAAAACGCGTTCTCTCCAAAATGCTCAGCGTCCTCCGGTGTCGTGTTATCTGCAAAGTAATAATTCGTTAGAATAATCCTTAATGAAAATAAACATCAGCTTAAATTAAATATAAGCTAAAAGTAATAGAAGTAAACAAAATTTATTAAAAAAGGCGAAAATTGAGATAGTGAAATGTCAAATCGCGTTTTACGCTCCAATCTTTATTTTTGTCAGAAATTTTAAGATAATTAACGTATTTGTTGATTTTTAGTTGCTTTCCATTTATATTAAAACTCAGATAATTCTCATTCATGATGTCGTAATTCATAACTTAGAACACTGAATGCACATTTCTATTTTCTTTCTGACAAGTGAGATTCAACTGAGTACTTATAATCTACACAAGCTTTGCAAGACTTTGATTTCCTGGATGTAAACAATTAAGAATTTATTGGACCTTTCCGTATTCCTGAATATATTTATATTTTAAAAATATTTCATAAAAAAATTCAGAAATATCTCAAATCTTGCAATGAAATATTTTGGAAATATTGGATAATAAATAGTATAATAAATAATATGGATAATAAATAGAAAATATACTCACATAACTTTACACTCACTTTAGTATTATATCACTTTTGTGAAAATGAAAAGCTACTATTATATTCTACTGAACAGAAATTCTTTTCCCGCAAATCCAACATTTTGCGCTTCCATTATTACCTCGAATCTCATTCGCGAAATTTGATGTCATCATTTCTTCGTCTGCGAAAGTTGAATCACTTTCGGTTACTTCGGTCGCCGGTTCGTCAAGCAATAAAGTACTATCTGCAGTCGTGTCCTCATGATTTGCGATGGTGAGCGAATTATTGTTCGTTGGTGGATGAGATTCCTTTTGCTCCGGAGGAAGCACATCCGACTGCGATTCAAAGATCGCAGCAGTTCCGGTGGAGACGGTAGCATCGCTCTGTGAATTCGTCGAATCTTCTTGACTAGATATACTTTCCGCGTTAAGATGATCCTCGTCAAATCTGGATTTGGCTGCGTCACTATCATACTGATAAGTTGTGGATTCCGTTGAGAAATTTGCACGATCGGAATCACTTGTGATATTCTCTAAGAGAATAGAAGATGCGATGCTCGTCTCGCGTTCCTCTTCTGACGATGATTCATAATGTAGATGTGTGAGATTTTCCGGAAGACTCTCGGTGGTCCAAATTATTTCAAATTTAGTGTCGACCTCGCGGTACGACGGATTCAATTCTTTTTTGGTGCTCTTTGTTAATTCCACGACATGGTCTTCGTGATTCGACGCTCGATAGACGGCTGGCTGAAATTATTCCAAGATAGTCACCCAGTTACGAGTGATTACAGTAATGTCAATGTTTTTTATTTTGTGACACAAATAAACACAAATATTGTTCTGTTACTCATGGAGTGCTAAGAAAGATAAAACGACATATTTATATCGACTTATATCACTTATATTACTAAATGGAAAGCATTCAACATTTCATCATCACTGTTGAGTGAGAGATAAAGTGTTGTATTTAAAGAAGAAATGCGCTCACATTACATTCGCCGCATGGGTCATCCATGTATGTGGATAATATAGCCGCTTTTACGTAAGGAAAGAACAGGATACTCCATGGCACTATCACGTGATATGTTAACATTCCGCATCTAAAATCACAGTTTTTAGCGATAATTTGGAGACACTGGTAGTGTCTCGGCGCTAAACATGGCGCGAACATGGATGTGTTAATACTAACTCTATCTAAAGTAATCAGTTGAAAATTTGTCTATTTAAATTATACCTACATTGAAAAAAAAGATCAATCAGTATTATTTTATTTAAAAATAATTTTAATTTAACACTCTATTAATAAAACAATTAAATACGTAATGTTCTTACAACGTTACACAATATTACTGCAGTATCCCTACATGGAAAAAATTTTCTTGCAAAATTTACCCTGATAGTTGTAGTATAATACAATATTTTAAAGATTTTTACCATGCACTTCAGTACATAATACACTCCTGATAATATTACGTGATTATTAAAAGTAACATTATTTAGTGTCGTTGTAGTATTTGTATGAACATTAAGAAGTCCCGGCAAACGAGAATGAATTGAAATGGATTCAGATTTTTAGAAATATTGATTCAATGTTAAAATGCTTTTCAATCCTGAATACATTTTTATTCATTTATAAGAATTGCATGGAGTTGCATATCTCTATGCCTTTCAATCTAAAAATAATATTAGCTTTTTCTACGTGCACACACACACACACACACACAAAACAAACAACACAACAATCAGCAGCAGCAGTTTCGATTCTGATGATATAGATGACGGGCCTAAATAATTAAGAAGAAACGGGTGGACTTGCAGAAGGGTGATTTTATTATCGATTCTTTTATTGATTGGTATACTACTGTACTTTGATGTGCCGATTACAAATATGATCATGAAAATTACTGACAAGGTTATTTTGACGCTCATTTGTCGCGCGATCTGGCTAAGCGCTCCCGTGTTTTGGGGCGCACGTTTTCCACGCATAATGACACCTTCTCCATCTTCCCTTCTGCTTAGGGGCGCACGACTTCCACGCGAACCGACTTCCACCCCACCTCTTCCCTTGCTTAGGAGCGCACAACTTTCACGCAAAGTGACTCCCACCCCACCTTCCTCCCTGCTTAGGAGCGCACGACTTCCACGCGAAGCGACTCCCACCCCATCTACCCCCCTGCTTAAAAGCGCACGACTTCCATGCGAAACTACTCCTACCTTACCTTCGTCCCTGCTTAGAGGCGTACGACTTCCACGCGAAGCTGCTCCCACCTCACCTCCCCCCTTACTTAAAAACGTACGACTTCCATGCGAAGCTACACCTACTTCACCTTCCCCCCTACTTAGGGGCGTACGACTTCCATGTAAACCTACTCCTACCTCACCTCTCCCTCTATTTAGAGGCGCACGACTTCCATGTGAAGCGACTCCCACCCCATCTGTTCCTCCTGCCAAGAGGCGCACGACTTCCCACGCGAAACGCGCTAAAAGAAGTGAAAAAAATCATCTTTTAAATATTTGAAAAATGACCTTGTCGGCAGTTTTCATTATATTCGTAACCAGGGTATCAAAATACAGTAATATTGTCAATCGATAAGAAAATTGGAAGATTCACCTTTTCGGAAGTCTATCCGAAAATGCTGATAGTTTAATAAATAATCATTTACTTGTTACATGACGTGCAGTAATGTGATGAATTAAAATCGGCTTCTTCATAAACGGCATAAACCATATAACTTTTCAACTAATTACTTAAAATATAGCATGAGATTATTTTTCGTATATATTATATATATATATAAAATTGAATTTTTGTATATGTGCATATATATACTCGTATATATATTCATTATTTTATGTGATTTTTGTGATGTATATGTACAAGAGAATCATTATGATATTTAAAAATAATCTTCCAAATATATATATATACTATACTGTGCTAACAAAAGTATTAATAAATGTGTATATGTACATTTAACATATATATCTGAAAACTTAAGCTCTCAATATTATATGACCTGTGATAAATGTAATGTGAATATGTTCTAATTAGTAAAATATTTTTTAAGAAATTTTGAGATTTTAATTTATTTAATCTATAGTTAATTCGAAATGTTAAACATTTATTTTTTATATGTTATACAAATTATAAACATTTGCTTTTAAATAAAAGTTTAGTCAAATCTCTGTTGTAATGATAAAAATTTGTCATTTATTTAATATCCAAATACTTAGCAATTAATCGGGCAAAAATAACTTCGGAATCTGATGAATAAAAAATTATATACATTATAAAATATGATTTATTTATTTAATCTATAATCGATCCAAGATAAAAGTTTATTGTAATGTTCAATTAATTTATATCGTATCTCCTCTTTCTTATCGACCTGCTCATTCTCATTAATCGGTCTGGAAGATTCAATCGTGCTCGAATCGATATTCTGTGGATCAGTGGAATCTCCAATATTGGGATTTTCTGTGATATTTGTAATTAAATAGCTGTCTTCCGCCTTCGAAAGACTCGTCGCGTAATCGCTGACATCAGAACGATGTTCCTCATTATAATTAGTCTAAAAATTAAATTTGTTAAAATATCGATTTAAGTGTTAAATTATACTATTAAAATGTACTTTATATGAATGCTGAATGTACACAATGCGTGCAGGTAATTACCGTAGAGTTGTTGTAAATATCATTAAACGTTTCATTTTGATCAGCTATGTCATTATCTTCATAACTCTTCCAATAGTCCGCTATTTCGCCGTACAATCCTGGGCTTTCATTTTTATCGAATATATACATCTGATTAACATTTTCTTCATCTGCTTCCGTTATTTGCCAATCGTATTCTTCGGAGCTTGTTATGTGAGCATTGACATCCTTAAAATTCACGAGGAATTTTAATCTCAACTATCAAGGATCAAAGAATAATAAAAAAAAAAATAATAATAATAAATACAAACGAGTGAAGAGGATTATATTCGATCAAAACAGCTCTTAATATCTAATAATATTTTTATGTAAAAAATAAATTCTTAAACACGATAGAGAAATATCTCAAATAAAATACGAGAAATTAATTAAGACATACATAAAATAGAGCATTATAATTTAACGGAAATGTTATAGGTTTTACTTCACATGTACCGGCGGTGATGCAACGTCAATTCCTGAATCGGGGTGCTCATGAAAATCGGGATCGCCGGACTTCAGAATCATGTGCGTGTATTTTTTCGTCTTTTTGCCATTTTTTTTATGTAGGTGCGGTGCATACATAATTATACGTAGCGGTAAAAACGCGTTCTCTCCAAAATGCTCAGCGTCCTCCGGTGTCGTGTTATCTGCAAAGTAATAATTCGTTAGAATAATCCTTAATGAAAATAAACATCAGCTTAAATTAAATATAAGCTAAAAGTAATAGAAGTAAACAAAATTTATTAAAAAAGGCGAAAATTGAGATAGTGAAATGTCAAATCGCGTTTTACGCTCCAATCTTTATTTTTGTCAGAAATTTTAAGATAATTAACGTATTTGTTGATTTTTAGTTGCTTTCCATTTATATTAAAACTCAGATAATTCTCATTCATGATGTCGTAATTCATAACTTAGAACACTGAATGCACATTTCTATTTTCTTTCTGACAAGTGAGATTCAACTGAGTACTTATAATCTACACAAGCTTTGCAAGACTTTGATTTCCTGGATGTAAACAATTAAGAATTTATTGGACCTTTCCGTATTCCTGAATATATTTATATTTTAAAAATATTTCATAAAAAAATTCAGAAATATCTCAAATCTTGCAATGAAATATTTTGGAAATATTGGATAATAAATAGTATAATAAATAATATGGATAATAAATAGAAAATATACTCACATAACTTTACACTCACTTTAGTATTATATCACTTTTGTGAAAATGAAAAGCTACTATTATATTCTACTGAACAGAAATTCTTTTCCCGCAAATCCAACATTTTGCGCTTCCATTATTACCTCGAATCTCATTCGCGAAATTTGATGTCATCATTTCTTCGTCTGCGAAAGTTGAATCACTTTCGGTTACTTCGGTCGCCGGTTCGTCAAGCAATAAAGTACTATCTGCAGTCGTGTCCTCATGATTTGCGATGGTGAGCGAATTATTGTTCGTTGGTGGATGAGATTCCTTTTGCTCCGGAGGAAGCACATCCGACTGCGATTCAAAGATCGCAGCAGTTCCGGTGGAGACGGTAGCATCGCTCTGTGAATTCGTCGAATCTTCTTGACTAGATATACTTTCCGCGTTAAGATGATCCTCGTCAAATCTGGATTTGGCTGCGTCACTATCATACTGATAAGTTGTGGATTCCGTTGAGAAATTTGCACGATCGGAATCACTTGTGATATTCTCTAAGAGAATAGAAGATGCGATGCTCGTCTCGCGTTCCTCTTCTGACGATGATTCATAATGTAGATGTGTGAGATTTTCCGGAAGACTCTCGGTGGTCCAAATTATTTCAAATTTAGTGTCGACCTCGCGGTACGACGGATTCAATTCTTTTTTGGTGCTCTTTGTTAATTCCACGACATGGTCTTCGTGATTCGACGCTCGATAGACGGCTGGCTGAAATTATTCCAAGATAGTCACCCAGTTACGAGTGATTACAGTAATGTCAATGTTTTTTATTTTGTGACACAAATAAACACAAATATTGTTCTGTTACTCATGGAGTGCTAAGAAAGATAAAACGACATATTTATATCGACTTATATCACTTATATTACTAAATGGAAAGCATTCAACATTTCATCATCACTGTTGAGTGAGAGATAAAGTGTTGTATTTAAAGAAGAAATGCGCTCACATTACATTCGCCGCATGGGTCATCCATGTATGTGGATAATATAGCCGCTTTTACGTAAGGAAAGAACAGGATACTCCATGGCACTATCACGTGATATGTTAACATTCCGCATCTAAAATCACAGTTTTTAGCGATAATTTGGAGACACTGGTAGTGTCTCGGCGCTAAACATGGCGCGAACATGGATGTGTTAATACTAACTCTATCTAAAGTAATCAGTTGAAAATTTGTCTATTTAAATTATACCTACATTGAAAAAAAAGATCAATCAGTATTATTTTATTTAAAAATAATTTTAATTTAACACTCTATTAATAAAACAATTAAATACGTAATGTTCTTACAACGTTACACAATATTACTGCAGTATCCCTACATGGAAAAAATTTTCTTGCAAAATTTACCCTGATAGTTGTAGTATAATACAATATTTTAAAGATTTTTACCATGCACTTCAGTACATAATACACTCCTGATAATATTACGTGATTATTAAAAGTAACATTATTTAGTGTCGTTGTAGTATTTGTATGAACATTAAGAAGTCCCGGCAAACGAGAATGAATTGAAATGGATTCAGATTTTTAGAAATATTGATTCAATGTTAAAATGCTTTTCAATCCTGAATACATTTTTATTCATTTATAAGAATTGCATGGAGTTGCATATCTCTATGCCTTTCAATCTAAAAATAATATTAGCTTTTTCTACGTGCACACACACACACACACACACAAAACAAACAACACAACAATACACACATTGTGAATACTATTCAATTCAAAATTTTGAATAGGAAATGCAGTTTTTCAATCCAATTGCATCCAATTGAATCTAATTGAATCCAAAAAAAGTATTTGCTATTTATATATATATATATATACATATAAAATTCGGACAGAAAAAAATTTCAATCTATTTTAATCCATTCTCGTTTAGTGGGGGGGTATCAACAACATTTACTTTAATTTGTAAAACCGTTACATCGGTTTAGTTTAAATATATGTTTAAAGACTGAAAATAATTTTGGCATGCAGTTGTAAATTGGATATGTATCTACG